TTGAAACCAGTAAGAATTGAGCTTCTCTTCGAGTATCCATATCCATATTGGACTTTACTGATGGACGATGATGATGTGATTTTGCAAGTGGGTATGGAGTTTAATAAGACTGCGGCGTTCTTGATTTTAGCAGTTGACAAGTGAAGGGAAGTTGGGGTTGACAAATGCGCAACAGTCGTTGAAACAGCAGCAGCAGCCATGGTCAATAACAGGTATACTGAAAGAAATTGCTGCTGTTGTTTTTATTATCACAGAAACTGGAGAACAGAAGAAGGGGACTTGCCAGCCTGAAACACCACATAGTCTTTGTTAGATTTTTCTTCTCTCAAAATAAAATATTTTTGCCGCTACGTTACTCTCACGTGCCCGTTACAACATTGTTCAGATCGGCCAACTCAGCCGATATTTTTATTTTCCAAATATATATATGTATGTATAATCAAATATATTGAGAATTAAATGTATAAATAAATAAATAAAAATTCATTAATGATAACTAAAACTAAAATTAAAAAAATTAAAAGACATATATAAATCAAAATATTTAATTTTAAAAAAACAAGATATTTATCTAATTATATTTGTTAAATTTATTTATTAAAATAATTTTTTATTTTAAAAAATAAAAATAAAAATTAAATAAATTAAATAAAAAAATAAAAAAAAATCATGCAAGGTTGCATATATTATAAATATTATCTAAAAATAATTTTTTATTTTTAAAAATTAAGTTCATCCATACAAAAAATTATAAAAATATATAAATGAATCAGAAAAACTCTTCAGATTTAAATGTGTAACTAAAAAAATAATTGAAATTTAAAAAAATTCTCCAAAAAAAAAAGAAGAAGGGATACTAATTTAAATATAAATTAAAAAATAATTAGAAAAAAAATTAGAAAACAATAATTAAAAAAAAAAGAAAAAAAGAAGAAGCAAGGGCCAGGCCAACCCCCTACCCATTTCTGCCAAGCCCACATAATTAGATCCTTAATTTTTTTTATTTGCAACTGGGATGGAGAATGTTTGCCCCAATTTTTTTTTTTAAATAGATAATTTGTTGTTTGATTGCTAAAATTTTAACCACTATGATAATTGTAAAATTAAGATTTAAGTTTTTTACTTAAAAAACTATTTTTTAACTTGTTTTTGAGCAAAAACACATAAAATATTGTAAGAATCATGATAAATTTATCTATGACCTCATGAAACATAAAAAATTGTTCCAAAAACCAGAATTAACTCGAGCCTATATATGTTTTTTCACAAACTTTAAAGGTAAAAATAAAAAATAAAAAAACACTTAATACAAACTCTTCTCTTCAAATGAAATTATTTGATATAACTATCATTTATTTTGGTGATCTAAATCGATGTTAACGACATTATTCTTTTTTATTGTTAGAATCCGATGACCTCTCTCTTTCATCTCTTAATCAATGATAAAAAAATAACAAAATAATTTTGTATACCAAAATAAAATTGAAAAAATATTGAGATACTGAAACTGTTTAACTTGAGTGATTTTTAAAATTTAAGAAATAAAATACATCTTTTGCAAAACTCATATGACATGTCATTTATGTTTGATCCCCTTTTTATTTTGATTCCTCTTTTTTCAATCTTATTTTTTTATAAAAAATCAAAATCAATTAGTTTTTAATTAAAACTAAATCACTAAAGAAAAAAAAGAATCAAATTAAGAAATCATAAAATTTTGCACAGCTATCTTCAATAATGTATAAGAGTACTAAGTCTCAATTGTTTAGCCTTGCATATTGAAAAACTTACTCCTTAAAGAGTAATACTTAAATGATTTTCTTGGTGACGGAAACACTATGGGCCAGCCTGTGAATGTGCGATCCAATCACAAAGCTACAGAGTGAAGCAAATGGTCTCCTCGGCATGGAGGTGGAAGCCAAAGTTTGAAGACAGGCGGGGCAACTTTTCTATGAAATATATATATATATATATATTCCCTCCCATTTTATTTTTTTGCATTAAAAAAAATTATGATAGCTAGTCTTTCCTTATTTAGCTATATGTGTTTTACTGTTTTCTAGTTACTCATTGATGCATGATCTTTTTCTGACGATTTGGCAACCCTTTTCCCATGTTTCCATGAATTTTATTTGGCAACCCAATCCTAAATCAGAAAATTCATTGTATTCTTTGCATGATTATTATTATTAATTAATACGAATGAGATTTCTTGTGGATGTGCAGTAATAATATATTTAGGATTTAAAAAATAATAATGCAATACCAATTTAAAATAAAACAAATGTTTTTTCAATTTAAAATGTTATTTTTTTATAAAAAAAATATTAAAACAATAATATAATCAGTCCAAATTTTTTATTATCTAAGTTATCAAATATATAATTTAAGTCCTATGCTGCACTAGATTTAATATGTTATTTTAAGATTTTATTTTTTCTATGCATTATTCTAGTGTATGGAATATATTTTTACATAATCAGATTCTACATAAAAATTAATAAATTTTTGTGTTTTGGGATTTTGAAAAACGAGTTCTATAGATTCTTCATTCTCCAAAACAATTTTTTATAATGAGTCACTTAAATCTATTAAAAGACAATAAATTTCTATAATCCAATATAACTTATGTAAATTCTTAAAAATAATGAATTTTTCCTTATAGCCTCATAAAATTTAGTATTAAATTATGTAACAATGAGTCAATTTTTGAAAAATAATTATCATTAGTATTAAATGAGAATATGCTATTTTAAGGCTATATAACATTTGAAGTCATCTACACTCTCCATTCAACTTAGAGGACTTAAAAAATTATCAAGCTTTCAATTATCTAGAATTTACAAGTTTAATATTTTTATGAAGCATACTTGCATTCATTGTAACTCCCAATCTACAACTACAGTTTAGGCAAATAAGTCAAAGAACTCATGGTATACGCCTATACGGATTGTTTTAGAACCCGCACTAAAACTTGGCTAGCTATCATATGATTTTCTCGCAATAATTTATTAAGCATTATTATATTATTATATTATTGATGAGAAATAAATATGTTTTTTACATTTATAATGAAAAGAAAAATAAATAAATTATTCTTAAAATCAATTTTGAAAAACTAATGTCCATGAATGTTTTCATATTTTTACTTTTTAATGCATAATAAAATAACTTAAATCCCTGAACAAGTTTAATTTTATTTGGCTTGCATCTAGTGGCATTTTCATTATTGTTGCTAGTTTATTTTTTGTTATTTTCAAATTTATTTAAGGATAATTTTGTAATTTAAAAAATATAAATATTATTTTAAAAAAATGATAACGTGTGCGTTGCGGGTTTAAGCATATAGGCGATTCTTGTGTTTTTTGGGTAGTATTTGTGAAGTTATCCGGTGACTAAACATTACCTTTTGTGGCGGCGTTCAAAACAATTCCTTATGTGATAAATGACATGTGTCCCTATCTTATTTGGCTTTGATGATCTTTTTCTTTTTTTTTCATTGATTTCCATGCATATCCCTTTAAAATTTCAAACTAATCTATCAATTTGTTATTTTTTTTATATTTAGTCTTTGTTTTTTTATTAATTATCTTATTTAGAATAATTTATAAACTTGGAATTCTTTCTCAATTTCAGCCCTCATTAATTTTTTTCATCTTTCAAATTTAATTTTTTATTTGAGATAATTTTTAAAATATTTTTTTTAGCAATTTCATCATCCATAAGTTTTTTTTTCCTATTAAATTTGATCTCTATTATTTTGATTGTTATTTTTTTTATTTGGTATTTTTTAAAAAAATTATTTTTTAAATTTTATTATTTAATATTAAATTAATTAAAAATTAAGTTTTTTTAATTGAGCTCGGATTTAAGATTTTAAGAGTTGCAAGTTTTAAAAATTAACATAGGTGTAGGAGGTTTGACTAAATTTGCCTAATTGCTTTTATTATTTTTATAGGCTCATGTTTGTTTTATTTTCTTCCTTCATAATTTATTAAATTGAAGATTAGGCTTTGTTAACTTTTTTATTTATTTTTTATAGGATTTTCATTGATTTTAAAAATCATATGAGCTGTCTTGGATTTTTTTTATTTTTTTGTTAAATTTAACTTTTTTTTAGAAGATATTTTATTTTTTAATTAAATTAAATTAAATTAAATGATTAGATATAAATATGAGATGCTTATTTCATGATATTCTATTAACTTATATTTTTAGGTTTTATCCTTCAATATTTATATAATTGGAGCTTGTGCTATGTTAAATTTTTTCTCTCCCTGTAATACTATTCATTGATTTTGATTATTCTTTGTTAAATTTAATTAGTATTTTTTAAGGATATTTTATTTTTAACTAAATTAAATTAATTAAATAAATATATACCTGGAATGTCTACATATATTGTTTTTTTTTTACTTTTTACTTTAATCATAAATATTTCACAATAACTTTTTTTTTCTTTTCTTGTCTGGCTTTCACAACTTGCATGTGTGCATTGGTTTCAATTATCAGATCCACAAAACTTGCAGTGGAATTACAAAAATACAAATGGATCAATGGATGGATTATATAGAGTCCTTTTCGCTCAACATGCATGAATAGGATAACTTTGACTTTCGTAGAACTAATTCATCTGATGTATAAATATATATAAAACTATATTTGCTTAACATAGATGTGATGGAGTATATATCTTCCAATCAATATGTTTGAATATATATGAAAGAGGTAGTCATTCTACTCATTAAAAAAATGGTAAATCATGGCTTATGTGATCCCATTTTAGAAGAAGAATTTGAGAATTCTCAGGAACAGTTGACTTTAATATTTTGACAAATTTTATTTTGGTTACCATGTCATCATAAATGATTGATTTCAAAAAATAAGAAATAAAGAATAAAAATAATAATTCATCATAGTCAATACCTATTATATATATGACCCAAAGCATGGCACTTGTGCATTTTCTGCGAGTCAATGTCTCGAGCTCTGCAGCTTAATAAGCCTATTTAAAAACATTGGTTACGCAGCATGAATCTAAAACCATTATAAACAGCAGATCCAAGAGTCTTATTATTTAGAAGTTTGAGCAAAGTCGTTTATCAAGAGGAACAAGAGACTTTCACCAATGTCTAAGCCAAGGTAAGCGTTTTTCTTTCTTAATTTAACCCTCGTAGATCTGCCAGAGAGCACATCATGAACATTTTTATTTATTTCCGCAATACTTCCGAGTAAACATTTACAGATACATATATGTCCATTTGTTACTTATATGTGGTTATATACACATGTATTCAATTGTGCATTTGATCTTTCAGGTTGGAAGGCAAGGTTGCACTGATTACTGGTGCAGCTAGCGGGATCGGCGAGGAGGCAGTGAAGCTATTTGTTGACAATGGAGGTTTTGTTGTTGCTGCAGATGTCCAGGATGATTTAGGGCATCAAGTAGTAGCATCGATAGGGGCTGATAGAGCTACTTACCGCCACTGCGATGTAAGAGATGAGAAGCAAGTTGAGGAAACAGTGAAATACATCATGGAGAAATATGGGAAGCTTGATGTTTTATTCAGCAACGCTGGCATCATTGGCCCATTAACAGGGATCCTAGAACTTGACATTGAAGGTTTTGACAACACCATGGCTACAAATGTACGGGGCGCTGCAGCAACAATTAAGCACGCAGCCCGTGCCATGGTGTCTAAAAACATTCGGGGATCTATTATATGCACGACTAGCGTTGCGTCCTCACTTGCTGGAACAGGACCCCATGCTTATACCACATCGAAGCACGCCCTGGTTGGTCTAGTCAGGGCGGCTTGCAGTGAGCTAGGGGCTTATGGGATTAGAGTCAATTGCGTTTCTCCTTACGGGGTTGCGACCCCACTTTCTTGTCGAGCTTATAATTTGCAACCTAGTGAAGTTGAAGCTAATAGCTGTGCCTTGGCCAACTTGAAGGGTATTGTATTGAAGGCTAGGCATATAGCCGAAGCTGCTTTGTTTCTCGCTTCCGATGAATCAGCTTACATAAGTGGACACAACTTGGCCGTTGACGGAGGATTCACGGTTGTTAATCACAGTTTTTCAGCCATCTGAAAATGTGGGATAGCCTGTCACTTCTTCTTTGTCCCCCCCCCCCCCCCCCAAAAGACC